TGCTTGTCTTGTGGCATAACCATGAGAGTCCAAATTATTCTTAAATTGAACAAACAGAAACAGTGGACTCTGGAGTTTTCAGAATGATTTAAACATGAACCATAAAGCAACCATAGTTTCCTTAACCCTTTAAAGCCTGATCCAAGAATAAAACAAAACAGAAAATTACTTATTTTTTGGTTTGAAGTCTTTATTTAGCCTTTTAACAAAATATGTAAAAAGAAAAAACAGAAATACATTTTTAATCTTGTTGATTTATTACTATGTGATAAGTCAAGATTATTTTTTGTGTAGTCTTCTGCCCCCTGTTATCAGGTGTATCTGATTGTGTACAATAGGATTTTGAGCAAAGTTTTTACCATTAAATTATGCAAAAGGTGTCAGACGCAAAACATTTCAAAAGCCGTATGTATCAAATATGATACTTTTGGCATTAATTTACTTGTCCCCGAACCTTTTCTTTTTAGCTGATATATAGCTGATAAATTCCCACTTTGCTGCTTTTTCTCTGCAGGAAAACAGACACTGAGTCACATGATGATGTCCGAAAATCAGTATTCCGCCCCATCCCTCTTAAATGAATTCCCCATGCATGTGGAACATATTGGGAAGGCCCTTCATCCTGATCTGGGTGCAGAAATTGAAATAAATGTGAGATTTACCCAGGCGTCACCCCTCGTCCTTCAGGTTGTTTACACATATATCAGAATCAGATCAGAATTAGGTTTATTGCCAAGTAGTATATACCTTTCTTACACATATGCAGAGCTATAAAAGATCAAAATCAGAGGCAGAAATTCACACAACAGGCAAAAAACGTGCAACATTCAATTAAAAATAGAGATTTCCCAAACCAAAAGCTGTCAAAATCCGTCTCAGGGGTTAAATTTCCTCTCATTTCTGGGTTCAAACAGCCGCTGACAGGTGAGTAATTATCTGTGATCTCATTAACCATCAAACAAACGGAGACTAATCACCTCGACTCCGTCTAATTAACTCACAGACTCTTTCGGGCGTCTGTTGGTTAACGCTGTAATTAATTATCTCGGAGACGTTTTCCGCCTAATCTCACGCTCACAATCTGATCTGATCTGTTTCTCTTTTAAATCGTGATGAATAAGATGATTAAAGACTGCAGATTTCACTGGTAGTGATTAAATACGCACAAAAGGAGACGATGACTGACTTTGACAAGTGTCCATCTCAACTGATTCTTTTATTTTCTCTGTCACTATTTGAGGATTTTAACACTTTTTCCCAAAGATGGGGTCAGAATATTAGGATGACCAAGCTTGAAAGGTCTATTTAAGGTATTTTACAGAGAGATCAGAGCCAGAAGATGAGTAAAAACACACCAGGACAAAGAGAAAAAACCCCAACCCATTTGTTATTATTATGTTATTTTCACATGAATCAGAATCAGAATCAGAATAAGGTTTATTGCCAAGTAGGTTTTTGACTTTTGGTGCACAACGCTTCTATGATAAGCAAGGAAATACAATGTAGAAATAAAAATATAGAACAGAAAATATAAAACTAAAAAGTACAATCTTTAAAAAATATAGATCTGAGAATAGAAATATGGATATAAGACTCATTAAATTACAAAATCAAAAGTATCTATACAGGTGTGAATGTACAAATGAACTATTTAAATGTGCGTGGTGTGTGTGTGTGTGTATGTGTGTATGTGTGTGTGTGTATTTGTTTGTTTGCATGCTTTTGCTGGATGTGTGCATACACCTTTAAGAGTGAGGGTTGGGCGTCCATTCACTGACCTCCAAATACAAACTCTGGTTTCTCTTTGTCAGCGTTTTCTGCCTCTGCTTATTTAAACACGGGTTTGACAGGTTTTTATTTTTGTCTGTGTGTGCCAGCTGTCTGATTCCTGTCAGCGTTACACTCCGTTCTTCCATTTGTTTTTGCACACCTTGTTTTTTTGTTTTTTTTGGGGTGGGGGGGGGGCCTCCCCTCTTTGTCCAGGGATCATTGATATCAAGTGCATAAACCTAATTGTGGAACCATCTAAACCCGTTTAAACTCTCCATGTCTGGTGTGCTCACTCCTTTTAAAAAATAAATAAAATAAAATAAAATAAAATAAAATAAAATAAAATAAAATAAAATAAAATAAAATAAAATAAAATAAAACAAAACAAAACAAAATAAAATAAATAAATGAATAAATAAATAATACAAAATAATAATAAATAGATAAATTAATTAATTAATTAATAAAATAATTTAAAAAAATAAAAAATAAAAAAATAAAAGAAATCCCGATTAAAACCGTGTCACCAGGCTCTTTACATTCCTCACCAGATTCTCTACATGTTGAAATGCTGCTGCAGGCTCAGATATCTGCAGTTTTAGTTTGCTTTTTTCCTCCGTCGATAACCCAAAATAAAAAGAGGATTTGAAGTGAGTGAGTGCTGCTGTGATTGTGTGCTTTTCCCTCCATTTTGCCCTCACGGCGGAGGTGAAACTCAAACACTGACCGCTGTCTGTCGGCTTTGGCTCAGTTTGGAGCACTTATCCCCCAACAGCAGGAAATAATAAATAAATAATAACAGCAGGATTAGTGTCTGAAATAAACCCAGACCCTCTCCGATGTGGCCCCCTTCTTTTTGTTGGTCCTGGTTCTGCTTCAGAGCCCTGGAGGGTTGGATTTCTTTTGGTAAATGTATTTATTTATTTCTTTACTCAGGACAGTGCACATTAATGAACAATCTCATACAGATTGTAAATGAGCCAGATTCTAGCATAGTTGCTAGTTTAAATCTGTCGTCCTGAGGCAGGAAGACCAAACAACACAAAATCACAAAATACTAAATCAGTCCAAACACACGCCTATAGTAACACTATAGTTATTCTTATCTTACCTTAAGTGTCATGAATAGGAATCAAATAAACACGAAAAGGTATTTTTATCATATTTTATATTTCTTCTTTCAAATTGCACTTAACATGGCCACTTCAATATATAAAATTAAATACAAAATCTAGGAATTATTACATGATTACTCCACCAGTCACTAGAACAGCACAGACACTCGAAAATGGAATATTATTTGCAGATAATTAATTCCTTATCAAAAAATCTTTTTAGACCAATTAGGTGAAATAGGATGATTTTCTACGGCACACCTGACCATCACTCAGACACACTAGTGTACCGAGACACAGTGGTTGAAAAACACTGCACTAGGCGACACAGGCAAGGAAAAACTGAATTTTTATTTATTTATTTTTTAACTTTTTGTTGGTCCTGTTTCTGCCTCGGAGCCCTGGAGGGTTGGATTTCTTTACACACAGGTGGGTGCTTCTGAAACTCTGACCTTTGACCCCTGACCGGTGTTTTTTTTATCCCCAGGTGGTGCGGGACCAGATCACCCACTGCACCATGAAGCTGCGCCAGACCACCGGCATGATGGAGTTCTGCCTGGAGGTCCTGAAGGAGAACGACCCCAGCGGGTTCCTGCAGGTACCGCAGAGAAACTGTATAATGTAGAGAAAAGGTACCGGAGAGAGACTGTATAATGTAGAGAAAAGGTACCGGAGAGAAACTGTATAATGTA